ATTTACTGGTATGACCAGCAAAATATCAGAGATTATATCAGAGATTAATGTTGATTGATTGACTTCCTTATTCATCTCCTTGATATCCGGCTATACTCCCCCTCAAGTTGGAGCATGAAGGTCTCTAATGCCCAACTTGCATAATAGGAAATGAAGTCGTTCCTTGCCTAATGCCTTTGTAAACAAATCTGCTAGTTGACAATGAGAAGGCACATGAGCCGTGAGCAATTCCTTCCGTTGAATGCGTTCACGAACAAAATGGCAATCTATCTCAATATGTTTTGTGCGCGCATGAAACACAGGATTATTGGCAATGTGTAAGGCAGCTTGGTTATCACAAAACAATGTCATTGGCTTCGAGTGATATATCCCAAGATCATAAAGCAAGGACTTTAACCAAGTGAGCTCACTGACAGTTGATGCCATGGCCCTATACTCAGCTTCAGCGGAGGTGCGAGAGACAATTGATTGCTTTTTCGACTGCCAAGAAACAGGGGAGTGTCCGAGACAAATATAGTAACCTGTTGTTGAGCGCCGTGTCCGTGGGCAACCAGCCCAGTCTGCATCACAATAAGCAACAAGATGTGGATGACTGGAAGAGGAGAGTAATATCCCTTGTCCCGGTGAGTTCTTAACATAATGTAACACTTTCATTGCTGCATCAAAGTGTTCCTGTTTGGGTTCCTCCATGAATTGTGCCAAGATTCCAACAGAATAGCATATGTCTGGTCGTGTTATTGTCAAGTAAAGGAGCCGACCGACTAGCCTCCTGTATTGTGAAGGATCTGGTATAGGTGAACCAGATGCAAGTCCGAGACGATGATGCTGCTCCATGGGAAAGGAACTAGGCTTTGCCCCAAGCATGCCTGATTCCGTGAGTATGTTGAGAGCATACTTTCATTGGCTCAGAACTATCCCTTCTGTTGTTCTAGCTACCTCAATTCCAAGAAAATATTTTAAGGGACCCAAATCCTTTATAGAAAATGCAGAATGAAGATAGTGTTTTAAGGTTGCAATTCTAGCTCCATCATTGCCGGTGATGACAATATCATCAACATAAATTAATACTGCAACAAAACTGTCAGCAATAGCCAATGTGAATAAGGAATAATCTGCCTTTGATTGCTTGAACCCAATTGCTTCAAGGGAGGTTGTGAACTTTTCAAACCAATTCCTAGATGCTTGTCGTAATCCGTAAAGTGATTTCCGCAACCTACAAACTTTGTTGCTCTGGTTGCAAGTAAAACCTTGTGGTATTTTCATATATACCTCTTCATGTAAGTCACCTTGCAAGAAAGCATTATTGACATCTAATTGATGCAATTCCCAGTGCTTAATCGAAGCAAGAGCCAGTAATGTCCTCACAGTGACCATTTTAGCAACAGGAGCAAAGGTCTCATGAAAATCAAGCCCTTCAATTTGAGTGAATCCCTTCGCTACTAAGCGAGCTTTGTACCGTTCAACAGTTCCATCTGGCTTGAATTTGATCTTATAGACCCATTTGGAATCAATTGCACGTTTGTCAGGAGGCAATGTCTCAATTGTCCAAGTGCCATTCTTCTCAAGTGCAGCGACCTCTTGCCTCATTGCTTCTCGCCAGTTTTCATTTTTAATGGCCTGAGAAAAGGATTTAGGCTCATCTACGAAAGAGATGGCTGCTAAATAACTGAGATGAGTGGATGAAAAAGAATTGTAAGAGACACAATTAGATAAAGCATAGGGATCACCTGAGTTAGTTGATTGAGATGGAGCTTGCATAGGCATAACAGACTGGGGCATGGTGCAAACATAATCATCAAGCCTTTG